GTTTTATTGTATTTTGTGGACTTTTACTGAATAAATTTTTTTGTGGAATGTCTTCACATCCTTGCTGGTATAAGGCAGGGTATGTGTGCACGCATACAAACAAGAAACACGAAGGGAAGCACATTTTGCTGGTAGCACTTCAAAATCAAACATTATTTATTTATTTTTCTGTTGGTTGAGACAAGTGAGTTTAGGTGGGAGTTGTTTTGAAAGTATGTTCTCAACATGGCTCTTAATAGTAGAAGGAATGTTTTTAACCTTTCCCCTCTCGCTTGAGTTAACTTTACTTTGGCTTAAAAGTGTTTTTGGTTGAGAAAGAAAGACTGAAATTGATAGCTCTCACAGCAGTGTTTGCAATTAAAGTAGAAGCTTGGGGAGAGAAGGTTGGGGAATGTCTGAGGAAGATTTTCCTTTTTCTTTTTTGCCCTTTAAGTTTTCGCTCTAAATCATATTTTTTTCTGACTTTAAAGCAGTAGTTTGAAATTATCTGGCAGTCTCAGTGCTATCACTTAGTCTTACTTTTCTTTTGTAATCATAAAGATTAATAACAACTAAACATCTTAACTAACATATTTATGGTTCTGACATCTAGCCCTTTTGAACTTAATAGTGGATTAATTTAATGTTAATCATACGTTTAATTGCTTGGGACTTGTTATAAGAGACACTGGAGAAGATGGAGAATTTTTCTATGAAGGCAGGGATTTTTTTTTCTTTGAAATTTTTAGTGATTGTTATAAGACTGAAGAAATGGATGTGTTTTGGACATTGAAGGAATCCTAAATAGTCAGGAATTTGCTCCTCTGGCACCCAGCGAGATTCCAAATGAACTAAAGGGGATTACTTCCTACAGGGACCTCTGGCATTTTCAGTAGTGTGGTGAGGTTAGGGGAGAATTTTCTTCATTCGTTTGTTACCATCTACCTCATCAGAGAGGCAAAAGTAAAGCTGAGGGGAGATGGCCACAGTGGTAAAGAAGAGGCATGAATTGGAGAATCAGCTTTCCATCTCTGACCAATCTGAGCAGGTTTTTTTTTTTTTTCCCCCAAAGATAGCTGGCCAGCACTTAATTTATCTAGGTCCATGAGAGGAATATGCAGTCAGTGTCTGGGCCTCCATTACCTGTGGCTGAACTCTCTGTTGTATGAAGTCAGTGCTGACAGGGAGAAGAATCTCCCGAGTAGGAATCACATGGCCCCCTCTCTATCTCCAACACACACACACACACACACACACACACACGCACGCACACACACACGCGCGCACACACACACACATACACACACGCACACACACACACACACGCACACACACACGCACACATGCATACACACACGCATGCACACACACACGCGCACACACACACGCACACACACACGCACACATGCATACACATTCTGGAAAGGAGAGAAATGTGCCACATTAGGCTTACCTACCTGACCTTAGGGAGCCTGGAGCAGATATCCCCCTACCCTAGATGCTAAGGATGTAGGGAGCAGAGTCTGGGAGTACTGGAGCTGGCAGGAGTAACATTTAGGAAAAGTACATTTGATTTTGAAAGACATAAGATGTTTATTTAGGAAAGAATATGGCTGAGATAACATATGGAGATATTTATCTTTTATTCTTCTTGTATTTTCCATTTTTCTTTCCAAGGTATCTAATGGATTATGTGCTCTTTTGTATTTGTAGTCTCAGGGGATGGATGTAGCAAAACAACCAGCAGAAAGTTGCATACCTAACCTTTGCTTTCACTCATTCCCTCAAGATTCAACCCCAGAGTGCAGAGAGGATTTGCAGATATAGACAAAGTGTCTCATTCAAGAGGAAGGAGAGCAGGAGTTCACCCCAAACTAGAGAGACAGAGAGAGTCCTCCAGTGTCTGCCATAGTTCCAGCCACATAACAGAGGGTAGAAAGGAGTGAGCCTCCGGGATCCACAGCCTTTTCTTACACTGCTTGTCCATGAGATATTTATCATCCTTGTTTATAGGGCTTGTCAGTCCAGAGGCTTATTGAGCCTCCACAATCTTCAGCAAGGCTCTCTGTGTTCCTGTCTGCCTTTCTACTGAACACAGTTCTTACCTTTCAGGGGCTTTGCTGCCTACCCTGATGGTTTTACTGGTTTGCTCTTCCATATTCTGTAGACCCACAGAATTCTCTTTCTCTCTTTGTCTCTCTTTCTCTGTCTCTGTCTTTCTCTCTCTCGTTTCTCCACCCAGAAGAAATCCCTTGTATTTTTTTTCCCCGGTGGGAAATCTTTTTCTTTTCTTGTTTCTGACTAAGACACTGTCAATGTTTGGGGATCCTCTACTTTTAATCCCCTCTATAAAAATCCAGGCTTTGGAAGATAATAGAAAAATTGTAAGCTACTGTCCTCTTTGTTCTATATTTATCTTGAGTAAAGAGCACAGTCTAGTTGCCTACTTGAATTAAAGAGAGAACAAAAAGAAAAGTACGGGGAGAAAAAGTAATAGCAGATTAGTATTTCAAAACATTATCCCAGCCAAATGGGCATTGTGGGGGTATGTGTATGAGATGAGTAAACAAATTAAAGTGAATTTGGTAAATATTTGCTTAGCCCCACTTGTCTAGGAACTATCGTAAATACAGACTACCTTCTCTTCCCACCAACACATTACATGGCTTTAATATTTTTTATGTTGGGTGGTGTTGGGATACTTCAAGCACTTAGTAAGTGAATGGAGAAGTTACTACCCTTTAAAAAATGTGGTGCTAGAACATGGTTGCAGGTGAAATATGGGGGACTTGTAGCTTAGAAACAATGTGTGGAATGAGGACAGAAAAGAACAGGAGAGAAAATGGAGGTAGGGGAATGTCATTCTCTTCATGCTTTGAGAGGATGCAAAGTTTAATCTCTTCTTAAGAGGGAGCTACTGAGTCGTGTCTTATATTGACAATCACTACTTATGAGTGGCTTATGGCCCCTCGTTATTCCTCCCTCTACTCTCTGTGTTTAACTTTTGATTCTTTTCTAGTTTTTTTTTTTTTTTTGCTGTTCAATTTTGCACTTCTATTAAATGAAGGTTTCACATATTAGCTTTACTTGAAAGCCTTTGATTTAGCCCTCTACCTGAGGACTGAGCTTTGATGTAAAGCTGGGCACTTTGTGAAGTCTCTCCCTCCCTTATACTTCCATGCCTTTTGTTTATGCCTGGGCGTGAGATGTGTCTGGTGACCCACTGAGCCATATAAAGGATCTCTGAAAAATAGAGTCATTTTGGCAAGGCCTCCTCCCAGAGCCAACCGATCAATAGGCATCTCTCACCTTTTTCAAAGTACAGTGGGAGCTGAAGACACTGAAAAACAGTATCCTCCTCAACAAGACCACATTAACCCAAACCACAGCAGCACCGGTGCCAGCTCTAGGGAAGGCAGCCCTTCCCTGAAAAATAGAGACAATGACTGGGCCGGCAGGACCCTGAAGTGCTCCTGTAGATTGTGGCTGAAGCAATTCCAAACCTCTCCATCACATTGCTCATCACTGATGTCCCCTCAGAAGGGCTGCCTTCCCTGGAGCTGGCGCCAGTGCTGCTGTGGTTTGGGTTAATGTGGTCTTGTTGAGGAGGATACTGTTTTTCACTGTCTTCAGTTCCCACTGTACTTTGAAAAAGGTGAGAGATGCCTATTGATCAGTTGGCTCTGGGAGGCGGCCTTGCCAAAATGACTCTACAGGCACTCCCCGCAGAGCTCTTATGTCTGCCATGCACAGTGACCAGATCCGCACCCATCCCAGGGCGCTTTTTAATTGGAATGGCTGTTCAAACAGTAGTGTGAGTTTTTTCATTTCCCCCTGACTATACTCTAGGCTTCAGCTCTTTAAGTAGGAAAGATAATGGTTTACTTGTCAGTATTCTCTTTTCTGTTTGAAAACAGCTCCTCAGATGTTTTAAAGGAGTTCAAGCAAATGAGAATGGTTGACTCAATTATCTGTACTAGAGTAAATTAGCAATTATTAAAAACAAAGAAAACTCTTTAGATCCCCATTACTAGAGAGTTACCATCAACCTATCTTCTTCGCTGATACAAAAGTTTGCCAAGTAAACAGATTCTACTTGCTTCTCAAGCACCCAGGAATATTTTAAGAGAAGGGGCTAATTGAAAGGGCTCTGTGAAAAGAAAATACAGTGTTTCATTCCACCCACGATTACCTAAGACCTACCCCTTCTTGCTGTAGAAACAACTTCTTGCATGAGCTAGGAGCTCGCATTGCAGCAGTCTAATTCTTATTAGCTGGGTCATCCTGAGCAAGTAGCTTAAGTATTCTGTAGCGCATCTATAAAATGGGAAGAATAATAATGAACTAAATCAGGTAGTATTTGTAAAGAGCTTTAAAAGTATCTGACACTAGGTTAACTCTGATGGTTGTCCATTAGGATTTCCCTTAAGCAGCCCCTCAGTGCCTGTGGCCCCTTCCTCTAGGATCTCCTCCCTGGGTCTTAGATCAGGTGTGAAAGGGGAGAAACCAGTATGTTCTAATAAACTGTCTTCCTGCTTCCTTGAATATCTGTGCTTATTATTACTGAATAACATTTATAGAGACCTTACTGCTCACAAAATATTTCTCCTTCTGTGTAGGGTTTTATCCACACTACAATCCTGTGAAGTTAAGAAATGGTGGGAGATGTTTTCATAATATATCATGCTTCCACACCCTTTCTGATAAAATTATACACTAATGCTAATCATATATTAAAGGACAATACCAGAAAGTCAAGGCCCAGGTCAAAAAGGAGATGGATATTTTTACAGTCCAGAGACAGAGTACATATACAACATGGGGAAAATGCCACAGGGCTGCTGAGTTATGGACCCAGTAGCAAGGAAGTGGCAGCAGAAACTTGGCCTCTGTGGAGAATAGTCTTACATGTTTTTATGTGAGACAGGGGACTAAAACCAGGCTCACAGCATAAAACTAGGGACTGGAGTACAGCACTCTGCTCATAGAAGCTAAAAAACCCAAATGGCCAAAATATCCAAATGGCTACAATTGCTGCTTGAAGTTATGGCTCATAACAAGCAGGATGCCTCATGAGAAAACGATCAAAGTTCCTGCTTTGCAGCCAGGAACTAAACCAAGACCCACACAGCTTTCCTGACTGTATGGAAATATCTCCATGTCACAATAGGTCATTAGAAGACCTGGTTTGGAACGGAGGCCTAGTGGGCAGAGTGGGTGAGGAAGCACTGGATGCAGAACCACTGGACAATAAGAAATATGTTTCCATTGGATTTAACAACAAGGGGCTACTGATGACCTTGACCTTAATAGTTTCATGGGATTGCAGGTGCAAATACCAGAATAGAATGAAAGGGTAGTTGAGGGTAAAAGGAGGAGTTAGGCACACTGAGTGTAGATATCTTTCTCAAGAAATAGAGACTATGCTTCTGCAGAGAGTCAGGTACAGGGAAGACTGAAGACGCTTTGGCATGCCTATATACAAATGGAAGGGTCCGGTATAGAGGGAGTGGTGGAAAGGTTCAGAAGGTGGGCTGAAGTGGCATAGAGTGAGGTGTGACATAGCAAGGTCCTGAGAAGAGGCCTGTGGTGCTTTGGACTAAAGGAACTTGGAAATGGAGTCTTTTATTAAGAATAATACAGAGTAACACAGGTTGCAAACCACCCTCCCCCTTTACAGGAAATTGCCAAAATGTTGGATACCATGGAGACTGGGGTAAATTGAGATTTAGGCACAGAGATCTGTGAGGAATGAGAGCTCTGAGTGAACATGGGGTGGTGGGTGAAAACCAGAAGAAGAGGAAATGAAAGATCAGAACTTGTAGCACTTAAGGCCAACCCAGATGGAATAGCTAAGGGCAGCAGAGGCCTGTGGCAGGAAGAACCTCCATATATTCATGAGTACATAAAGCAAACTCCCGGGTTTCAAAGACAAGTTTTGTTGCTGGTGAGGATGGAGGAAGGGGTTCTTAAGGGACTAGATTTTCTTTGTGAACAAGTGGGACTTGGAACTAGTAAGATTTGTATATTAATGCTAGTGTGACATTCAAGCTTTTGATCATGCTTGGGGTGCATTTGAAGTACGTTTACTTATATACCTGTCTCCCTCTATTAGACCGTATGGTCCTGAATGCAGAGACTATATCTTACTTGACGTGGTTGGTAATACCTGTTGACTGAAAGACTGGTGTGAAGGATGTTAGCAAATACTTCTCATTAGGTTTGTCAAGCCTTGAAGCAATTAATATAAAAGACAATGTGAAAATCTGCAAATAAACCTTAGCACTTGGAATTAAGTCTTTGAAAGCTTTGTTTAGACTTTTGAATAAAAGCTTATTCTTAAAATGTTTCTAGGATCACATTTTCAATGTAATAACGTCTGTTTTGTTAGCATTAAAATAAGAGAATTTTCTTACACTGCCCTTTTATTACTCTTAGGCCTTACCTGTATGACCCTACTGGATATGAATGAGAAAGAACATATTGAAATTGAGAAAAGAAGATTTACATGATGGTAATACCTTTTGGATGTTTACTTTTGGTACTAAGTGAATCATACCACAGGGAAAATGACAAAGCTGAATATATTAAATAAATAATAATAATTATTATATTACCTGTCATTTAAATGTGACTGAATTTTAAAATATGATCTCTTTATTTGATTTTACAGATGTCTTGAGAGACATCTTGATATTTGTAAAATCTGGAATTATGTTGGTCAGAATTTTATATGAGCTAAAGTTATAGACTTGAATTCAATAAATGATACAAGCCAGTGACCAGGATATTCTATAAGTTGTGGGGAAAAAATATATATGGTAGCTACCCTCCAAGATGACTTCTAAGGATCCCTGCATCCTGATATTCACAGGTGGTGTCACCTATTCCATACTGAATGGGGCTGATCTGTGTAATTAACACAGTGTGTTAACTGTGTAATTAACACAATAAGACAATGTGGAAATGACAGTATGTGAGTTTAGAGGCAAAGTCATAGAAATGATGGATTGATCTTTCTTGTATTACTTGTGAGTAAAGCCAGCTACTCAAGCCAGCTTGAGTAAGGACACTCAAGCATCCCTGTGAAGAGAACCATGTACCAAAAAACCAAGGGTCGAACAACTAGCACTAATTTTTCAGGCATGTGAGTGAGCCACCTTGAAAGTAGATCCTCCAGCCCACTCAATCCTTCACATGACAGTAACCTGGGCTGACAAGTTGACTGCAACTTCGTGAAAGATTCTGAGCCAAAACCACTCAGCTAAAATGGATTCTTGACCCAGAGAGACTGTGTGAGATAATACGTGTTTATCATTGTATGCTGTTAAGTTTTGGGGTAATTTGTTGTATAGAAATAGATAACTAAAGCAATGTTATCAGGGAAACTTTCTATTCCTCTTTACTTTTCCAATTAAATTGTCACTGCTTGCTGACACTATTAGAATCTGTGAAACCAAAAAAAGTTGATACTCCCATGAGCAGTTGAGGATTTGTACACAGGGAGTCTCTGCTCTTGTTCCAGGGCCAAAACACAGAGAGAAAAAAAAATGAAATGAAATCTATAAACAAAATAAATACCTATAAAAATATAAAATAAAACATATAAACAAACATCAAATAAAAACAGGTTTCCTGTTACTGACCCGGTGATGTTTGGGAGGTATGTGTTGGTGTTCTGGCTTTTAAGCTGTAATTTCTACTTGATCTCAAGAAAAAATGTTACAAGTTGTGAAGGTTAATTTTATATGTTGAGTTGACGGAGCCATGGGGTGCCCAGACCTTCGGTTAAACATTATTACTGGGTTGTTTGTGAGCGTATTTCTGAATTAGATTAACATTCGAATTGGTAGGCTGAGTAAAGCAGATAGCCCTCTCCAACGTGAGTGGACTGAAACAATCTATTGAGGGCCTGAATGGAAAACAAGGCTGAGTAAGAAAGAATTCTTTCTCTCTGCCTGATTGTATTTGAGCTGGAACATAGATCTCTTGTATTCAGACTTGAACTCAGACTTAGACTGGAACTTATACCATCAGCATTCCTAGGTGCCTAGCTTGCTGACTGTGGGCCTTAGACTTAACCTCCATAATCATGTGAGCCAATTCCTTCATCTCTTTATTATATAAAAAAAGAGATTATTATTTAATAATAATATTATTATATCATAATTTGGTTACACATGATATAAACCCTGTGTAATTACTATATAATAATAATTTCTTTCTTATATAATATATAATAATCTATTACAAAGAAATTATTACTTATTATAAATAATCTTTATTATATAATAATCTATATAATAAGGAGATGTAAGGAATTGGCTCACATGATTATGGAGGCTAAGTCTAAGACTTAGACTTATCTTTTTAATCTTAAAGCAACTAAAATAATACTAACTTTTAGAAACTAAGTAATAAAGGACTAGCATAGGATTTTAATTTCCGTTTATAACAGGTTCCTTTGTGAGAGGTATTCTGACCTCAAATTATCTTTTGGGACACAACTCGTTTTTATGTTGAGAATTAACTTTTGTTTAAATGGATAGCAGCTTTAGTTTTAGGAATCTTAGCTATTTAAGAACAAAGTGCATATCCCTCCATTCTTAATGACTCCATTCCCTGATGGTGCTGTCACCCATATGGCAGTAGAGTATTACAAACCTATGAACCAAGCAGTCTTCCCTTTGGCCTGCCACATTGCAGTCTGAGAAATGGCTCTACTAGTCAGGATGAGCTGGGTCATGCAGTAATCTCAAACAATCCTCCAAGTCTCAGCATCTTAAAGAAAAACAAAAAACTTATCTTTTATTCATGTTGCATGTCAATCATTCGTTGGCCACAGCTCTGTTCCATGTCACCTTCACCCCAGGATCTAGACTAATGGAGAAACTTTTCGCTTGAAAATTGGCAATTGTTATGGAAGCAGAAGAGACAGAATGACAAAGCATGTTGCTCTTAAATCTTCAGCTCGAATACCTTTCCCACGTTTCATTGCCCAAAGCAAGTCACATGCTGCCCATGCATTTAACAGGGTGAGAATGTTTAATTCCCCACAGGAAGGGCAGTACATTTTTGTGAATAGTTACGCAATCTACCGCAGCATCAAAACTGTTACATTTTTCATAAGCATTCTTGGGAGGAATATTTTAAAGCTGAGACTCAGGCATTTTACTCACATAAAGTTACATCAAAACGCAGATGGAAAAGAAACTCATGCTCTGAGAAATATCTCTGTACTCTATTGTAAAGCAATTTCCCTCAAGTATGGTTATGGGAGTAATGTGATTCCTTGCTGCATCTCTGGGTCTGCTCCTCTCAGTGACCCCCTTTTGCCCTGGTGTCAAGAGTTAACTTCTCAGTTTCCCTCCCTGAGCGCTGCGGGGTAGCAGTGCCAATAAATCTCTGCCTGTGAGGCCACTGGATCTTGTTGGTCTCAGTTCCTTTGTCCTAACCTAGCCCTCACTATGAGCAATGAAGATAAATAACACTGGTTTAATATAAAAGAGTATATTTTTCATGCAGTTTTCTTTCTGTAAGAATTTTCTTTTTATAAATGGGAGTAACCTTTTTTTTGTATGCGTTTTTGGTAAGAGCAGTGAAAGAGTGCTAACGTTACTTAGCTGTGGTTCTCTCAGGACTTGGCGAGTTTCTTAGCTTTTTATTTGGTGTGATAGGTTCTGTACTAGCCCTGAGCTATTCACGCTACATATGGGAAGCAACAGCATGGAAAATCCAAAGCATAATTTGTATTTAATCTTCTAAATGACTTTTATTTTTAGTGCATTTACCTTCTTAACAAAATTTGATGTTACTAGAGTTAAAATTAGTTTGTCTTCCCGGAGGAGGCTGCGTGTTGTTGTAGGTGCAGGTCTGGTCTGTGACAAATTGTTGACTGAACAGTTTTTCCTCAGATTTTCCCTCTGTCATTTCTGATTTTACATCCAATCAGATATAACCTATCTAGAGCCACCCACTATGAATGTCCACCTGTGTTTTTTCTTTCTCTCCCTAAGCAGCAGTGTCTGCCTTGGATTTTTCTGTGGCAACATATGCCCCATAAAATGTTTTGTTTCAAACCCTTAGAATCCTGTTTTAAGACTTGCTGGTTGATTAAACAAATTCATGTAAATATAGTAATAGTTTAGTACATTTTCCCTCCAATGCAATGTGTTTACCTTTGAATGGAGGTTTTCTGGAGAATGTGTCTTAATCTGTGTCAGCTCAAAAGTGGAAAATTTGTTGGGCAATATCTTCTGTGTGTGGTTGTGGTCATCACAGGTTTATTTGTTCATGTTCCCAATAGAACATGAATTTCACTCATTCATTTTTCATCTGTTGAATGCCAAATATGTGTCAGGTAGTAGGGAAACAAAGACATCAATAACCTTTTGCCTACCAGTGAACCACAGTCAAGTGCGTGAGCAGACACTTGAAGAAATACAGCAACTAGACAGATCTTATAATAGCCATATGAATTCAACGATATGGGAACACTGATATTTGCAGAAGTCCTGGAAGGCTTTCTAAGGTGGGGTCTTTGAACTGAAGCTTGAGGGATGAATGAGACTTGTTCAAGTAGAAAAGAAAGAGGGCCAAGCAGGCAGTCTGATCAGGGGTGACACTGTGTCAGATTGGGGAGGAGAGAAAGATGAGGCTTTTTCAGGGAATTGCTTGTTGGTCTCAGTTCCAATCTGGCTTGATTGGAGCCTAATATATATGTAAGATTGTGAGCTGGGAAATGAGGTTAGAAAGGATGGAAACAGAAAACAACTAAAGAATTGAATGTGGTAATGATTCTGGTTTAGAAAGACCACCTTTGCAACTGTATAACATTTGCATGCTAGAGAAAACTTGACTTCAGATTAAGAAAAAAAAACTTACAAAATCCTAAAACACACCAACCATAGGCAATAATTAATGATCAATAAAATGGATTTGTTTGGATTAATAGCTAACATTTATTTGATATTTACTATGAAGAAATGTCATAACTTGCATTTTATAATTTAATTTTCACAAGAACCATGTGGGGTAGATAAAATTATTATCTCTATTTTATAGTTGAGAAATATTATGCCCAGTGAACTTAAGTAATTTGCTATATAAATCAGAAATGGATAGAGCGAAGTATTTGAATTAAATTTTGATCGACTACAAATCCAATGTCCCTGCCACAATATTTTCAATATTTTGTTGTGAAATATACATAACATAAAATTTACTATATTAATTATTTTAAGTGTATAGTTCAGAGGTATTGAATATATTCATAATGTTGTGTAACTATCACCACTGTCTGTCTCCTCTTGCATTCCCTTTTTATCTCTCTGATTTCCAAATTCATAGTTAGGATATAGGTAGGGAAATGTATCTCCAGGCATATTTCCTTAAAGAAGAATTTTGCTGGTACAACATTCTGTGCTGAGTCCTAGTTTAAAGATCGGACTGTGGGACTTAAATTGGGTGGGATAAATAATTTAAGAGGATGGAAAAGGACTGGTTGGGGGAGTAAGCCCAACTCTCATGGTTATAATAGTGTCTGTTGAGAATTTGTAAGTAGAACAGTAATGGTAATAGAGATATCAGAAGAGTGTAATATGTGGGCAGACCCACAAAATACATAGGCATAGAGTGAGTAATGGCACGAATTTCACCAAGAAGTTTAAAAATTCCCCATCGTGTTTAATTAACGCGTACTGCTCTTAATGAAGTAAGATAGTGATATGGTTTGGCTCTATGTCCCACCCAAATCACATCTTGAATTGTAATCCCCAGGTGTTGAGGGAGGAACCTGGTTGGAGGTGATTGAATCATGGGGGTGGTTTCCCCCATTCTGGTCTCATGATAGTGAGTTCTCAGGAGATCTGATGGTTTAAAAGTGACTGGCAGTTCCTTCCTTATTCTCTCTCTTGCCGCCAAGTAAGAGGTGCCTTGTTTCCCTTCGCCTTCCGCCATGATTGTTAAGTTTCCGGAGGCCTTCCTGGCCGTGTGTAACTGTGAGTCAATTAAGCCTCTGTTATTTGTAAATTACCCAGTCTCAGGTAGTTCTTTATAGCAGTGTGAAAATGGACTAATAAAGATAGCAAAGAATGAATGGAGAGGAAAAAGAATGTGACTTAAAAGGGACTCAGAATGCCAGAGTATTATGGAAGACTTTGGTCATCCCCCAGTATCGTCTTCCATGATGACCTCCTTACAAATTGCTAGTTTTCAAGCATGGGAATTTCATTAAATTTTCTATGGCCAACAACATATTTTTATGCCTGCTCAAACACATTCTTGATAGTGATATTTATCTAACATATTGAAATATTATTCTAATTTCAGAAAATCTTTCAGTTTTTCTTGTCAAACTGTCATTGCTTAAGATAGTAAAATAATGAATATTTATCATTTATTTCCTGCATTTCTAACCATTTTTCAGGCCATTGTGTAAAAATGTATTAATATTTCTTTCATAATGCATCTTTGTGGTATATTTCAAAGGCAGTTAGGGCCAAGTTCCTGGAATATATCTCTAACTTTTAAGGCATACTTAAAAAAGATTTAATGTTTAAAAATTACTTTGTTTTATGAGTCCCCCAAAATACCAACAAAAATTTTAACTCTGTGATAAGTATGAATGTAAAAATAGATTTTGTTTGCTGTGTAGTTTGCATGTTAAAAACAGACACGAGATGTTGCAATATATAACTTGTGTGCTCTTTATTATTCTTTAATTATGATCCTATTGATTCTCATTGGGGCACCAAGCTGAAGATGTTTACATATTGCTACTAAAGTTTTTCTCCTGTGTAGAAATTTCTTTCAAGGACCATTGCAAATAAAATTCCAGTTTAAATATTTTTAGGCATCGAGTTTTTGGTAAGATCTGCTTTACTTCATGGTGAATGATGCAAGGTATAGCCTATTAGTTCTTTACTATTTAAGTAAAGTAAAACTTGATTTATAATATGATGAAACATGGATATAAGAATTTTATTTTGTTTAGCTATGGTTTCATATAATCTTAATGTAACATGTAACTGTAATAATGTTCCATATAATTTATTTCCATATTCCAAAGACTATGGACATAAAATCTGTACTTTGGAAAACCCAAAAACATAAAAAGGGCATCTTTCTTTTTTTTATTTTTTTATTTTTTATTTTTTATTATTATACTTTAAGTTCCAGGGTACATGTGGATAACGTGCAGGTTTGTTACATATGTATACTTGTGCCATGTTGGCGTGCTGCACCCATCAACTCGTCAGCACCCATCAACTCGTCATTTACATCAGGTATAATTCCCAATGCAATCCCTCTCCCCTTCCCGAGTCCAAGTGATCTCATTGTTCAGTTCCCACCTATGAGTGAGAACATGCAGTGTTTGTTTTTCTGTTCTTGCGATAGTTTGCTGAGAATGATGGTTTCCAGCTGCATCCATATCCCTACAAAGGACACAAACTCATCCTTTTTTATGGCTGCATAGTATTCCATGGTGTATATGTGCCACATTTTCTTAATCCAGTCTGTCACTGATGGACATTTGAGTTGATTCCAAGTCTTTGCTATTGTGAGTAGTGAAAAAGGGCATATTTCTTTAAAAGATGAGAAGAACTTTTAAGTTTTCCTCTTTTACCTCCAGAATAATACAATGGAACCACTTACCTTTTTCAGAAATCAACTCTAAGGAAAGAAGTAGTCAGGAAACCTGTTGAAAGAAAATGAAAGCAATGTATTTCAGCAATTACTTAAATCCTGCAAGAAGATCATGTTTGATGGGTAAGTTTTCAGAATGAAAATCTCCATTGACTAAAGTGAAACTCAATGGCAATTTTAAATGTCTTATCTGCATGACATTGAGAGTTAATGATAGAAAACTTTCATAATTTCTTTTAGTGCAATGATTTAACTCAAACTATGCCCTAAAACATATCCTTACCTCCACCAGGAATCATTTATCATGCCTTGTCTGGTAGAAATATAATTTTTACCTTAAAGGAGATATTGGCAATTCAACTAATTTCATCTGCTTTGGATAAAATTCATCTGATGTTTTAAAAAAAGAATTTTTTAAAAAATGAGATAAAGAAACTTTTTAAGATGATGGCTATGTTCATTAACTTGATCATGCTCCTTGTGCCCTGGTTGTATTTAACTCTTCTTTGAGCAGAAAGACTATCTTGTCAATCTGGTCATCAGGATACACACACACACACACACACACACACACACACACACACACACACTTAGCAAAATTTCTACCCTAAATATGTGCAGTTTCTTGCATGACAGTAATACCTCAGTTAATGTGTTAAAAATAAAAATATTAGCATAACAATAACGAGCTTATATAGAGATATACCTTTTAATACTACATCACTAATTGTTTACATAATTGAGAGACAATTCATGGGTCTTTCACATTTCTGCACATCTTCTGAGCAGAGGCCCTGACTGCCTTTATTCCAGGCTATCTTATCAATGATGATTATATAGTGAAAAGCCTTGGAAGATAGAGATAATATCTCCTTCTTAAACAAAGGGCAGATTTATTTACTGTCTGGTATGAAAAAGATAATGTCTCCTTTTGGGGCAGGCATGCTTATTGTCCATTTTAAAAGATCAGATTTCCTGGCTGGGCGCGGTGACTCATGCCTGTAATCCTAACTCCTTGAGAGGCAGAGGCCAGTGGATCTTGAGGTCAGGAGATCGAGACCATCCTGGCTAACACGGTGAAAACCTGTCTCTACTAAAAACACAAAAAATTAGCTGGGCATGGTGGCAGGCGCCTGTAGTCCCAGCTAGGGTGTGGTGGGGGGGACGGTGGGGGGAGGCTGAGGCAGGAGAATCGCTTGAACCTGGGAGGTGGAGGTTGCAGTGAACTGAGATTGTGCCACTACACTCCAGCCTGGCAACGAAGTGAGACTCCATCTCAATAAATAAATAAATAAATAAGCAAAAGATCTGGGTTTCCTAAGCTTGGAGTTTCTCTCCTATAATGCAAAATGCAATTCACAGCATGTGCCTTCTTGACGATACCCTTAAGATGAGGTTTAGGAATGTGATGCAAACGCTCATACTCTAGATACTTCAATATCGGCAATAGCTTTGAGGAATATACTGAACTTTGTCTGTGAGGCAGGAGTCTTACCTTTCTCATCAGTCTCCATGAAACTATGGGTGCCTTTCTTGTTAGCTTTTGTGTATGGTAAAATTTCAGACCCTTCTAAGTCCTTGATAGTTTTGATGATGAGCATGGGATGCAGAAAGAGTCATGAGTTTCTGGAATAGGAAGAATGAGATCCTTATGGTTGATTTAAGGCAATGCCATGTGCTAATAGCAGACATTTGACCAAACTATATGATCAACAGGACAATTAATAATCTTGTACTTTAATGGGTATTAGTTAGGACGAATTTGGGAGGGTGTTGCAGTCTGAGAACTCAGAAGTAAATTCAAAGGCAGCTGTCTGAATGGTGCCCTGGTTGTATCTAACTCTCCTCTGGACAGGAAGACTATCTTGTCAATCTGGTGGTCAGGCTCAAGTCCACCCCACTGTAACAAGTATTATTAAAATTTGCCCTGGGGAGACCAGAGGGTTCTTACGTCTATGTGATAATTTTTATAGAAAAACACTACTACTGAGTGTCAAGGAGGAAAATTTGAAACCACATGGACAGAAACCAGGCAAATGGCTAGCATTTGCTTGATTTACTCCAGAGATGAGGGGTAGGGTATATAATGCTTGTTTAAAAAGAATGGCAACCAAAATGCCATCATATGACTTTGTGCCTCCTGCAGTCTATCATCCGAATCTTAGACCCATTTAGAGATGAAAATAAAGTCTTCTGACTTTTCTTTCTTTTTTTAAAAAAAATTATTCGAGGTTATTGTAAGAGATTCTTGAGCTTCTTTGAGATTTTTTGGAGACAAACTCCTGTGGGAAGTCATAGATGAGGGATTAACAAGTACTTGAGGTTTTACTGATTCAAATTGGGTTTATGATGCTGATGAAGGTGACCCACTGAAGAATGAGAAACTAAACCAATTTCTTAGATAAATTTTATGGTTAGTCCTGCAGCCCTGGAACACTCCCCTAGTTTTTGTATGGAAACTTAAAAGAATTCAAGAGAGTGTTATTTTGATAGTGGTGCTTGCAGATGCTCCAGATTTAGGTGAATTCCTTAAAAAAGTTGTGTCAGGCTTGAGTTGGGCAAAGGGCATAACCCTTGCACCCCCAGCGAGAATGTGGTGTAGCTGTGGTTGTTATATCCAGGGGTCTCTGATACTGAAATTGATGCTGCTAGCCATAAGAATCTTGCCAATTGATACAGAATTTTAGTCAGAATGAAAACATTAGAAGTTCATTCTGTTGAGTCATGAACTATGAGCTGGGCTACCCCACTTTTTCCCTTTGCATCTTTTCATAAAGCCCTTACCTCACTTCTTGCCCCCTCCCGCCTCCTCTGTAGCTTCTTTATGCAGAAAGATGAATAGGGGTGAGGCTGAGGTCTCCCCATCCTTAAGAGGGATCAAAGGACATATTCACCTAGCTAAGTATGCTAGAGAACTTCAGGGAGAGAGATTTGAACTTGTATGACCCTCTTGGATACAGGTGTCCATGTCATTATTCTACCTGGTCTTGAGTTGGGAGGGAAGCCCAGGTTCAACTTATCTGACTGGGCAAAGTTTACAGTGGGGTAAGAGACACTAATGTAAGCTTACAGTTGGTAGGGTCCGTTGGAACAATTCAATGTACTGCTTTTGTTGCTTCTATATTTAAATATATAGTAGAAATTGATGTGAATATGCTTGTACCTTCTGTTCCATGAGTACCAAAGGGAATTCGGATCAGGAAGAGCTATCCATAGGAAAGTAATAATACTTTTGGGATTCCACAAACTGGATGACCTCCTTGAGCTATAGTCTCAGTGACTAATGATTTTTCCATCTTGAGCCTCTGGCAAAGGGAGGCAGCTTCCACCTGAGGCACCCTTGGGGCTTTATTTTAGATGCATCACTTCACTTATATTGACACCATGCACACTCTTTTTTTTTTATTTTTATTTTTTATTATACTTTATGTTCTAAGGTACATGTGCACAACATGCAGGTTTGTTACCCATGTATACATATGCCATGTTTGTGTGCTGCACCCATTAACTCGTCATTTACATTAGGTTTATCTCCTAATGCTATCCCTCTCTGCTCTCCCCACCCCACAACAGGCCCTGGTATGTGATGTTCCCCTTCCTGTGTCCAAGTGTTCTCATTGTTCAATTCCCACATATAAGTAAGAACATGCGGTGTTTGGTTTTCTGTTCTTGTGAGAGTTTGCTAAGAATGATGGTTTCCAGCTGCATCCATGTCCCTACAAAGGACATGAACTCATCCTTTTTTATGACTGCATAGTATTCCATGGTGTATATGTGCCACATTTTCTTAATCCAGTCTGTCATTGATGGACATTTGGGTTGGTTCCAAGTCTTTGCTATTGTGAATAGTGCCGCAGTAAACATACATGTGCATGTGTCTTTATAGCAGCATGATTTATAATCCTTTGGGTATATACCCAGTAATGGGATGGCTGGGTCAAGTGGGATTTCTAGTTCTAGATCCTTGAGGAATTGCCACACTGTCTTCCAGAATGGCTGAACTAGCTTACAGTCTCACCATCAGTGTAAAAGTGTTCCTATTTCTCCACATCCTCTCCAGCACCTGTTGTTTCCTGACTTTTTAATGATCGCCATTCTAACTGGTGTGAGATGGTATCTCATTGTGGTTTTGATTTGCATTTCTCTGATGGCTAGTGATGAGCATTTTTTCATGTGTCTGTTGGCTGCATAAATGTCTTCTTTTGAGAAGTGTCTGTTCATATCCTTCTCCCACTTTTTGATGGGGTTGTTTGTTTTTTTCTTGTAAATTTGTTTGAGTTCTTTGTAGATTCTGGATATTAGCCCTTTGTCAGATGAATAGATTGCAAAAATTTCTCCCATTCTGTAGGTTGCCTGTTCACTCTGATGGCAGTTTCTTTTGCTATGCAGAAGCTCTTTAGTTTAATTAGATCCCATTTGTCAATTATGGCTTTTGTTGCCATTGCTTTTGGTGTTTTAGACATGAAGTCCTTGCCCATGCCTATGTACTGAATAGTATTGCCTAGGTTTTCTTCTAGGGTTTTTATGGTTTTAGGTCTAACATTTAAGTCTCTAATCCATCTTGAATTAATTTTTGTATAAAGTTTAAGGAAGTGATCCAGTTTCAGCTTTCTACATATGGCTAGCCAGTTTTCCCAGCACCATTTATTAAATAGGAAATCCTTTCCCCATTTCTTGTTTTTGTCAGGTTTATCAAATATTAGATGGTTGTAGATGTGTGGTATTATTTCTGAGGGCTCTGTTCTGTTCCATTGGTCTACATCTCTGTTTTGGTACCAGTACCTTGCTGTTTTGGTTACTGTAGCCTTGCAGTATAGTTTGAAGTCAGGTAGCGTGATGCCTACAGCTTTGTTCTTTTTGCATTGAGTTGTCTTGGCAATGCGGGCTCTTTTTTGGTTCCATATGAACTTTACAGTAGTTTTTTTCCAATTCTGTGAAGAAAGTCATTGGTAGCTTAATGGGAATGGGATTGAATCTATAAATAACCTTGGGCAGTATGGCCATTTTCACGATATTGATTCTTCCTATCCATGAGCATGGTATGTTCTTCCATTTGTTTGTGTCCTCTTTTATTTCATTGAGCAGTGGTTTGTAGTTCTCCTTGAAGAGGCCCTTCACATCCTTTGTAAGTTGAATTCCTAGGTATTTTATTCTCTTTGAAGCAATTGTGAATGGGAGTTCACTCATGATGTGGCTATCTGTCTGTTTTCGGTGTAAAAGAATGCCTATGATTTTTGTACATTGATTTTGTATCCTGAGACTTTGCTGAAGTTGCTTATCAGCTTAAGGAGATTTAGTGCTGAGACTATGGGGTTTTCTAAAGGTACAATCATGTCATCTGCAAACAGGAACATATTGACTTCCTCTTTTCCTAATTGAATACCCTTTATTTCTTTCTCCTGCCTGATTGCCCTGGCCAGAACTTCCAACACTATGTTGAATAGGAGTAGTGAGAGAGAGCATCCCTGTCTTGTGCCAGTTTTCAAAGGAAATTCTTCCAGTTTTTGCCCATTCAGTATGATATTGGCTGTGGGTTTGTCATAAATAGCTCTTATTATTTTGAGATACGTTCCATCAATACTGAATTTATTGAGAATTTTATCATGAAGGGCTGTTGAATTTTGTCAAAGGCCTTTTCTGCCTCTATTGAGATAATCATGTGGTTTTTGTCTTTGGTTCTGTTTATATGCTGGATTACATTTATTGATTTGTGTATATGGAAACAGGCTTGTATCCCAGAGATGAAGCCCACTTGATCATGGTGGATAAGTTTTTTGATGTGCTGCTGGATTCGGTTTGCCAGTATTTTATTGAGGATTTTTGCATCAGCGTTCATCAAGGATATTGGTCTAAAATTGTCTTTTTTTTTGTTGTGTCTCTGCCAGGCTTTGGTGTCAGGATGATGTTGGCCTCATAAAATGAGTTAAGGAGGATTCCCTCTTTTTCTATTGATTGGAATAGTTTCAGAAGGAATGGTACCAGCTCCTCCTTGTACCTCTGGTAGAATTCGGCTGTGAATCTGTCTGGTCCTGGACTTTTTTTGGTTGGTAGGCTATTAATTATTGCCTCAATTTCAGAACCTGTTTTTGGTGTATTCAGGGATTCAACTTCTTCCTGGTTTAGTCTTGGGAGAGTGTATGTGTCCAGGAATTTATCCATTTCTTCTAGGTTTTCTAGTTTATTTGCATAGAGGTGTTTGTAGTATTCTCTGATGGTATTTCTGTGGGGTTGGTGGTGATATCCCCTTTATCATTTTTTATTGTATTATCATTTTTTATGTGATTCTTCTCTCTTTTCTTCTTTGTTAGTCTTGCTAGCGGTCTGTCAATTTTGTTGATCTTTTCGGAAAACTAGCTCCTGGATTCATTGATATTTTGAGGGGTTTTTTGTGTCTCTATCTCCTTCAGTTCTGCTCTGATCTTAGTTATTTTTTGCCCTCTGCTGGCTTTTGAATGTGTTTGCTCTTGCTTCTCTAGTTCTTTTAATTGTGATGTTAGGGTGTCAATTTTAGATTTTTCCTGCTTTCTCTTGTGGGCATTTAGTGCTATAAATTTCCCTCTACACACTGCTTTAAATGTGTCCCAGAGATTCTGGTATGTTGTGTCTTTGTTCTCATTGGTTTCAAAGAGCATCTTTATTTCTGCCTTCATTTCATTGTGTACACAGTAGTCATTCACGAGCAGGTTGTTCAGTTTCCATGTAGTTGTGTGGTTTTGATTGAGTTTCTTAGTCCTGAGTTCTAGTTTGATTGCACTGTGGTCTGAGAGACAGTTTGTTTTAATTTCTGTTCTTTTACATTTGCTGAGGAGTACTTTACTTCCAACTATGTGGTCAATTTTGGAATAAGTGTGATGTGGTGCTAAGAAGAATGTATATTCTGTCGATTTGGGATGGAGAGTTCTGCAGATGTCTATTAGGTCTGCTTCTCTTCTTGCTTCATAAAAATATGGAATGCTTCACGAATTTGCATGTCATCCTTGCGCAACGGCCATGCTAATCTTCTCTGTATCATTCCAGTTTTAGTATGTGTGCTGCTAAAGTGAGCACCATGCACACTCTTTTTGAAAGCACCTGTTGCCTTGCTACTGTGGTCTTATAAAAACTGATGGCCTGAACCTTAGAGGGCTTTTGACTCTCTATCCTGATATTCCTATTTTGGGGTGAGTGAACTCAGATTCAACGACTATTAAGGTGAGAAGGGTTTCACAAGTCTGATTTGTCTAAAGGAAATGATATTTTCAAGACTGTAATCAGTCTGGATAACATCTTGGCTTTATGTGAAAAAGTGGCAGCTATCCCTTTGTGGGATGGGCCCTTAGCTGTTCAGCCTGAGCACCAGCTATAATAGAACTGGAAATGGACATAAATATTCTGCACAGTGGGCAGAACTCAAGGCTTTTCTCTTGCCTCTGGCCAATACTCCCCTTGACTAACCTTATTATATATTTACCAGCTGTAGGTTGTAACCAATGTCCTAGCTGCTGGTGTAGAAAAATTATGGCTGGCAAATTCAAGACACACCTCTTTGGACCTGGGAAGTTATGGAAACAAATTGTAGCTGCTGTTGAAACTGTCTGGGTCCCTCACCAGGTGCCCATGATAAGGGCTCATTCTCTGATATAAACAGTTGGAATTACACTTTTGATCAAGTTTGCTCTGCCCAGATTGCTGTTAGTTCTTCCTGGATCCATCATTACCCTGGGCATGGCAACACATTCACCATCATAGATTGGGCACAAAGTAAAGGACTCTATGTTTCTGATGCAGAGGATATTTCTGCATAGAAAACTTGTAACTCCTGCCAAAAGTTCAGCCATTTGTCCTCCAGTAAGGGAAGACACAACACATGGGATTGGAGCCCCCACCCACTTCTGGCAGACTGACTACATCTTCGAGGTATATAATGTTGCCTTCCTGCTTTTAACACTTTTTCAGATTATGAAAATGCTTTTTGTGTCTGATTAGCTGGCTCTGGCCAACTATTGTGGCCTTTGAAAGTATTTTGTGTTATATATTAATATATGTTTTTCTAGACCATTTGAAGTCTGACAGTGATATGCTTTTCATCACAAAAGGTACTCAGCAATAGGCTGATAGTCAAGGTATAGTGAACTCTGCTATTAAAGAATCAAAACAGTCAGAGACAATACATACATGAAGGCTGTATTTTAATACAACTTTTTAAAAAATTGACGGCAGGCAGGATTTGACCTCTATTGTTCAGATTAATCATCATAACTGATGGAGTGTTGTACTCATGTGAAAAATTTTCAGAGGCTAAGAAAATGTAACGATGAGAAGTGGTTATAGTTTCAAGACAATTCTCAAAAGGTCTCTTGTGCTTCTGCAAATAGAGGCTGGTTTTTTTCCTGGACTATTTATTTAAGGATATTTGTATAAAAATAGCCTTGAATAATAGAGATAATATTTTTCTCTGGAGTAAAGGACATATTTGCTTACCATCCAGTAAAACAAAAATAGTCTCCCTTCTATGGAAAGATCAGGTAGCCTCACTGTCTGTAATAAAATATTTTTACTCTCTAAGTTTAGAGTTCTTGTTCTGTAACACCCCATTGCATATGCAAGCGTCACTGGCCATTTTTGCATTACTCTTGGGGACATGTTGCAAATGCTGATACTCTAGCTGCTGCTATTGCCGTGAGAAATAATCTATTTTTTGTCTCTAATGAGCTAATTTGTTAGCTTGTAACTAGGGTAAAATCTGACACTTCATGGTTCTTGACATTTATCATAAACAAACTTAAAAAAGACTACATCCTAACATTTTAGGTGTTTTTATACTACAATTTATATTTTTTGATTGGCACTATAAGCTTTTTAAAAACTAGGTATTAAGGAAAATAATAATGTGTTCTGATCAGATAAGACTTCTCAAAGTAGTTGTGTTTTAATGATGACAAGTGGTAGAAATGGAATATTTGAAATGTGATTGTATAGAAAGAACACAGGACTAGAAGGCAACTGGCCTGGGGTTGAAACTGAGTTCTGTTACAAACTGGGTGTGTGATCTTGAAGAGTTCCGACCAATGGACTAAGCTTCAGGGATCTCATCTTCAAAACAAGAGGGTTAGGACAGATTATTTCTGTGGCTCTTTCTATTGTGAGATTGAATTATTATTTGTGAAAAAGCTTTTTCCTGGGGATGTTTTCCTTATGACATAGCTTTGAGAAGCCAGAATCTTTACAAATTAAAAGAGATTTCTTTTGTCCGTATCGTTTCCTGCATCTCTTTCTTTCCTCCCCAAATATGTGTCAACCAAAAAGTTTTCCTGTCAATATGCAAAATATGGAAAGTATAAGCTCTTTCTCTTCTTCATGTTTTTTGAGTCATAAATTAGGCTTTGTGAAAGTGCTCAGTTACCATGGTGATACCCACTAAATAAATGTAAAGAAACAGAATTCTCCCTTTTACATTTAAATTGTGCATTCATAACACATCAAATATGCACTATAATCATTGGCTTCTTCAGCATCAGAAGTACCTGACAATAATGCCAAATTTTTCATAGTATCTTTCTAAAGAGAACAAAAACTAATGATAAGGAATGGTTTGAGATATGTGGTGGAATATGGACAGATTTTTAAAAAAGATGTCTGTGAATTTAAGCAATTTAAGTGTATAGTGGTCAGAAAATGTATGGTGTATACTATCTAAAAGGTATTATTTCAATTCAAGTCCTATATTTCTTGCCCAAAACATATCTAAAAATATTTCCTTTAGTTATTCCTTTAGATAGTATGCGTTATGAGAAGAGATTCAATTACCTCTTTGAAAAGACAAGTGAATAGAAATCAAAATAGTTCAAAAAGTATATATGAATTTAGGATGTTGTTCAGTATTTTCTATTAAATGTGTTGCATCTGGTATAGCTTAAAATAGCATTAGAAGTAACCAATTATAGACCTCATAATAGCCTAAATTATTTTATATTTAATTATATGCAAATGAATTACATGATTTAGTAAGCTATTAGAGGACTAGTAATGGTGTCCTGAACTGGTTTTTACATTTCAGTAAACAAGAGAAAAAATTAATTTCACTTAAGATATAACATTGGTAGAATACAAAAAGTATTATTTAGAAGTAAGAAAATCTAAAGTTTGTTCAAATTAGTTATAACCAGGTACTGTATAACAATATTTCAGTCAATGATGGAATATGTATATGATGGTAGTCCTATAAAATTACAATGGAACTGAAAAATTCCTATTGCCTAGTGACACAGTAGCTGTAATGACATCATAGTACAAGACATTACTCACATGTTTGTGGTGATGCTCTTGTAAACAAACCTACTGTGCTGCCAGGCATACAAGATTATAGCATGTACAATTATTGTATATGACATAATACTTGATAATGACCATAAAATACTATTAATATGTTACTGGTATATGTACTATACCATACTTTTAATTGTTAGTTTACAGCTTCAGGCAGATCCTTCAGGAGGTATTCCAGAAGAAGGCATAGGAGATGACAGCTTTACATATATTATTGTATCTGATGAGTTTCCAATGGAATAAGATGTGGAGTTGGCAGAGAGTGAAATTGATGATCACGACCCTGTGTAGGTGTAGGCTAATGTGTGTGTTTGTGTTTTAGGTTTTTTTTTGAGTCGGGGTCTTGCTCTGTCACCCAGGCTGGAGTGCAGTGGCTGGCATGATCATGGCTGAATGCACATCAAACTCCTCTGCACAAGTGATTTTCTTGCCTCAGCCTCCTGAGCAGCTGGGACTTCAGAAATGTGCCACTATGCCCAGTGAATTTTTTATTTTATTTTATTTTTTAGTAGAGATGGGCTTTTGCTATGTTGACCAGACTGGTCTTGAATTCTTGCCTCAAATGATGTACCCTCCTTGGCCTCCCACAGTGCTGGGATTACAGGCATGAGCCACTGCACCTGGCCTGCATTTTAATTTTTAGCAATAAATTTTAAAAAGTCAAAAAAAAAAAATAGAAAAAAGCTTATGGAATAGGGATATGAAGAAAGAAAATATTTTTGTACATTTTTAGGATGTGTTTGTGTTTTAAGCTAGGTGTTATTACAAAAGAGTCAAAAAGTTAAAAAAAATCAAAAAGTTTATAAAGCGAAACAGTTACAGCAAGCTAAGGTTAATTCATTATTGAGAAAATAATTTTTTAAAAATAAATTCAGTTGAGTATGTGTATAGTGTTTGTGGCCTACAGTTGTATACAGTAGTATCCTAGGCCATTGCATTCACTTACCACTTACTCACTGACTCACACAAAGCAGCTTCCAGTCGTGCAAGCCCCATTCATGGTAAGTGCCCTAAGCAGGTATAACTTTTAAAAAATCTCCTATATTGTATTTTTACTGTACCCTTGCTATGTTTAGATATGCAAATACTTAACATTGTGTTACACTTGCCTACAGCACTCAGTACGGTAACATGCTGCACAGCTTTGTAGTCTAGAAGCAATAGGCTATATCATATAGCCTAAAGGTGCAGTAGGTAGACCATTTAGGTTTGTGTGAGTACACTCACAGTGAGCCCACACAATGATGAAGTTACCTAATGACACATTTCTCAGAATATATCCCTGTCACTAAACAATGCATGACTGTACTTAAGGGTCTTAATTCAATAGTAGTAGTATGATTTTTTAAGCTGACCACAAATGTGGCAAAAGATTTATTTAAACTTTCACTGTAGTTTCGTCAGTATTGAAGGTAGGATGTGAAACTTCTCTACTCCTAATGCTTCCCCCCATGTAAAGAGAGTTCTATTAGGTTAATATTCCTGTCCTCTCCCCACTCCCTTACTCCACTTCCATAAAGGGAAACAAGTAGCAGTTTGGTGAATTTGGAAGGGCAAACTGAGCATTTGAAGATTAAACCCTCTTTCTCTCCCCATTCTCTTTGGGGGCTAGCTGCCCACAGAAAGGAGGCACACAGGCCTATGCCTCTGCGTTGTTTTGTAGTTGTAGTCTCCAATGCTAGCAAGTCTGATCAATTCAGTGCTATCAATGACTAAGCCTGTCTAATTCTGTGGTTCAGATT